ACCCAGGTACACGCCTTTGACCGGGAATCGAACCCGCCACCCTTTGGTGCACTGGCCAACAGAGCAACACTGGCCAGGGCCTAGCTTTATATTTTAAAAGGATGCAATTTAAAAATAATCAACACAAAGGCCTTCCCAAGGCCACCTCTTTGTCCCTTCTGGCCTGCCAGCCCTTTCTCCATAACAAAACCCAAGTCTTCCTTCGGAGGCGCATTTTGGCTGGCCTGGTGTATTCTCTGCCACCATCCTCGCTGCGACCCCTCCTCCAGCGTGTCCTCTGCAGCAGCCCTGGGCTGAGGGGACTCTTCATTCCCAGAACCCCTCAGGCTCTGAGCCCCACCAGGCCCAGAGGCAGTGGATCCGTTGGTCAACCCATAAGCCCTGTTCCAAAGCCCCTGCTTGGATCTAGATGCCCGGTGGTCAAGAGGGTCTCACCGCTGCTTCCCCTCACCTCACCAGCTGGGAAGCCAGGAAAGGAGTCAGTCTGTCTACCTAGCACCCAACAGAAAGGAAAAGCGAGACCACACATTTGCTGACCGCTCTGCAGCCTCCAATACCACCATCCTATGGAGGACACCGGCTGAGCCAGCAGGTGTGACTTCCCTAAGGACCCCATGGACCCACGTCATATGACTCCAAGCCTCCAAGAGAGAATCTTGTTCCCTGTCTCTCATCGTCTAACCCAGTGGTTCTCAACCTTCTGGCCCTTTAAATACAGTTCCTCATGTTGTGACCAAACCATAAAATTATTTTCGTTGCTACTTCATAACTGTAATGTTGCTACTGTTATGAATTGTAATGTAAATATCTGATATGCAGGATGGTCTTAGGCGACCCCTGTGAAAGGGTCGTTCAACCGCCAAAGGGGTCGCGATCCACAGGTTGAGAACCGCTGGTCTAACCCCACTTAATGGCCTTGGGGCTAGAGAAGGGGTTGGTATGAGATGGGCACAGGGTGAGCACAGGGCACACAGTGACCTAGGCTCTGGGCCAGGGTGGGGGCAGGTAGGGGCAGGGGCTGCTCACCTGGGGCCCAGATGAAAGTGCTGATGCAGCTGTAGGCTCATGTTCCCTGGGCAGCCACCCCTACCTCCAAGGGTGAGCACAAGGTGCCCCCTGCCGAGAGGCCTGGCCTGGTGGTCAAGTGACTCTGACTTCTGGGGGATTAGAGGCTGGAATTCAGCTTCCACAAGGAAGCAAAGGCCCAGATAGGGAGGAACACTCATGGCTGATTACATTGAATGAGATGCAGCCCAGGCTGGGCACAGGCCCATATGGCTGCACAACTGTCAGAGGTGCCATTCACATCGTGTTGGTG